TGGTGGATGGAGTATAATTTATTATGCATTTATTATAGGTTGATGATATTAGAAGCTAGGCCTAGATGCAAGGTTAAACAATATGAAGTCATTGAAAATGGGGCAGACTACTTATTACGCCATTTTCTGATCATAGTCTCCAAGATAAACCATTTATAGATCTGAATATGGATTTAAATACATTTAGTTTCAATTGATGCATGTCCATTTTATTTTATTTATTTAAAATATAGTCTGGAGATGATCCAGGTGTAGATACTGTATATTCTGCATCGACTCTGGGTTACCACTTTACTAAAAAATGTGTTTTTATTTTTAAGAATTAAATAAAATGGAGGCGCATCAGTTTGAAATTAAATAAATCTATATAAAAAATGTTTATATTGGTATTGTCTTCTTTATTAGTTGTTTTTGATCATAACTGACTTCCAAGAACATTTATCAAGTGTAATAATTGATTTGATCATTCCATGGACTGGAATTCATACATGTAACACACTAAACATTTTATAGGTGTTACATAATTTTGTTTGAAACACAGTGACCCCTTAGAATAGGCTGGGTTATGATGAAATGATGTCAGTTAATAATGACATATCATTAAACTACAATACAAATATTTTTGCAACTCAATCAAACCTGAAAAAGAAGCTATGTGAAATAAACCAAAGGACTAAAACATGAATCTATTTTCAATGAAATCCAAAGGCCATGATAACAACTGGGAATATATATTATATCATATCTGGGGAGTAGGCAGGAGGCAGCTAGTCTAACCCTTATTTAAATCTATGCTACCCCCTATAAATATGTGGATTAGAGACCACAAAATGTAAACATTTCCAAAATACTGAAGTGTAAACAAATGCAGTATTGTAATTTAAGTATGTAACTGTGTTGTAATTGCTTCAACATATTTTCTCAAATGCAGTTATATCACTTAAATATTATGTATTTATTGTAATTGAATTAGGCCTAACATATTTTCTCTGAAATAAAATTAAATGGTTGGAAGTAATCATTTCAATGTATCTCTAGCATGAACATGTATCACCTACAAGTTTGATTTTATTATTCTGAAATAAAGAATTGAGATATTTATCAATTATAGACTGATAGGAGTAATTGAATATTTAAGAAACAAAATGTCAAAATTCATTAGAATAGCCAGCCACTGTTCAAAGATTCTGAGATAATCATTAAAATTAAAGGATTATCATAAAATAAAATCTGAACTCCTGGACTCTTAAGACACATAATTAAACAAATGATTATTCTTCTGACCTTGAAAAACACCAAACATATTATTCTATGGGTTGAGAAAAATATAGAGTTTATTCCATGGCAAAATATATTCCCTTGTTTGATATCAATATTTTAGTTTCATACTGAAACCCTCTCTAATTGAGCAACTCTGTTGTAATCATGAAATAAATCTAGTATCCAAGGGTTGAGATACATATTGAGTTTATCCCCTGAGAAGATATGAAATAATCATTAAAATCAAAGGTTTGTCATGAAATAAAATCCGAATTGATAGACTAGAAAATAGGGATGATATAAAATATTGTGAACAAAACACTGTGATAGTTTTTAAGAAAATTGTTTCAGTGTTCATATAATCATTATAATAGTTGAATCTGTGCTTACCTTTTTGCTAATGCTCTTTCAGCCTCCCAAAATGTTATTGTAATACTATTGATGATTTAGTGAAATAAAATAAACTGTAAATAAAAAATGCTTATATCTCAGAGTTATTATTATTTTATTATTAGCATCTTCAGTGATATGGATTTTTGACATGTGTCAATCAAGCAAGTTTCTACATTCTATGGGCCATTGCATTCACATGGAAAACACATTCTTACTGTTTTAAAAATACAACCCATAACAAATAGATAAATTTGTATCCATTTTAAAATCATTTTCCAGTTGAAATTGTAGACGTCTTTCATTAAATTTGATAACCTTGTCACACAGATATTCATAAAAGTAACTTCAAACTAACACCAACCTAAAATCAAGAAAATGTTTTGGTTTTTTTTCGACCATGACGGAGTCGATCACTCCATTCTACGACAAATCCAATGATGATGAATTGAAAAATTCGTGCTGTTAAAAATGATATGCTGAATTTCAATTACGTCTAATAAATAACTTAAAAATTGGTGCATTCCATTGCAGATGTGAAAGAATTAATCACTGCGTTAGCGTGATCGGGTCCCAATTGGGTTACAATTAATCAACATTTTGTTAAGTTGCGATTAACAACGCGAATTTAATTTTATTTTATCGATGGTGCAAGGTATTCCCGTGAATACATCGTTTGGTGCAAGGTATTCCCGTGAATACATCGTTGAAATTTAATTATTTTTTAGAAAAAAAACAAAATAATCAAGCGGTGAATTAAAACCTCTGAAGACTGCAATAAGACGTGCGATCAGACTTAATGTCGTATTGTCCGATGTCCGTATTTATTATTTTATTTTTTAGGATCTTCGGCGTTGTGGATTTCTGACATATCTCATTATCTGTCTCTGTTTATATCAAAGTTCCTGCCGCCAAATAGCCTTGGATGCAGAATCAAACAGTTCAATTATCAGAAGCTTGGTAGAACAAGATGATGCGTCCCATTAAAATGATGAAACAATCGAGCGTAAATCGTTGGTTTTGTTTAATCGTTTTTACACGTTTTATTAATAGATAACTCCCTTAAAACGTCCTTCAACATACATTAAAATAAATATCTATGTCTTCAATTAGATTTAAAGCTGTTATATTTGTTTGTGTTTCGTTGCAGACGTGATAAAATTAATTATTGGGTCAAAATTAAAGTTTGGTCGCGCATTTGGGTTACAATTAACCACGAGTTACAATTGACCAAGCGAATCCGATTTTGTTCAAAAAAAATATTTTAATGAAATAATATTACGAAACTGATTACATTTCCTGAATTCCCCATCCTTCCCCATCACAAATATCTCGTCAAAACGTTTTTAAAGCGAAAACTTTTCATTTAAACGAAAAATGAACAATGAATGCGATCGAAGGATAGATAAATCACGACCATGATATAATCATGTCAGATCATTTTTCCGAGTGGCCCATTTTCTCTCAAAACGGGATAATTATGTACAAAGAGCGGTAAAATCGACCACTATACCAAGAAATCGCCCCCGAGGGACCTACTTATTACTTAAAATTATCGAATTAGGTGCACTTTTATGAGTCGCCATGTGGGTTACAATTAACCACATGCGCAACTTCAGTTAAGCATGACTTGACCAAAACGTCTTTATTTTGAATGAAATTCACCGTGGCGATTGTTTAGGACAAGGATACTCTACATAAAAAACCTTTTTGATTTTTGATCAATATTTTTTATTTAATGCACACTTTTACCATTTTTGGTCGCAGGGGTGCAATTAGCAATGGCATTAGTCTCGCGTGGGGGACAGAAAAACAGAAATTTTCGCTTATTTTTAGATCTTTCTGAAGTATAGCTTTATTATACTCAAATGAAAGGAAATTAAGAGTAGATTGCAAATATTGTATCTTTTTTCTGATTCGAGCCTCGTAAAATTCAAAATGGCCGTCTAATGTACGATTTCGCAATAATTTTTCGATCCCTTCAAAGTATGGCTATATTATACTCAAATTGAAGGAATTTTGGAGTAGATCACAATTATGGTATTATTTTTCAGATTTGTACCTCAGAAAATTCAAAATGGCTGCTTTGCAGGAATTTGCAATTCTAAAATCTAATTTTTTCATTTTCAACCAAAGTAATGAGTATAATTGATTGGAATTCGGTAATTGATATTTTGTTCGTTGGGATTTGCTACTCCGCGGAGTTGCCGTTATCTAGTTGTAGCAGTCTCGGTATATTTCAAATAGTATATCGTATACTATTAGCTTTTTTTTATTTCTAAAAATAATCGTCATGATTTTCCGCTATAATTCACGTCCAAGAAATGATCATTAGAAATAATCCGGCCGTTTAAAAATCAAAACTTTGTAGGTTTTTAATTCAAAAAATTCAAAAAACAATAAATAAGTGTGTGAATGTTAAATTAAATGTGTAATTTAATTAAATAATATTAATTAATAACTGCTGTAATTTGATTGGTCGACTGCAGAGACATCTTTCAAGTTAACAAGATGGCGAGTGGACGTCGATTTGTCGTGACCGTGGGTTGCTCAGTAAAAGCCAGCTGGCCACAAATCCTACAGATTGACAGCTGTTAACAACCAGATTGTTTCGTCTATAAGATATATACATAATCTGAGAATTTTAGAGAAGATCATTGGACATATGGTGAGATTCAGCTGTTAAAGAAGAAAATTCGATGTTTACGAAGTGAGCCTGTATTTTTTACATTAGCTATACAGTGACTGGGGGGGGGGGGTTAATCTCCCTCAGCCTTTGATACACAGTAATGTATCTAATTTTCAATCAAATATTTAGGTATACAGTAAAACGTAAAGGCTAGAGTACCGATACTTTATATTGTACATGTTTTATTGTTTATTGAAACAAACAAATGGCTAAATCATCTTCAATTCACTGAGTCTAATTCACCTTGGTCTCAGTTTTTATCAGGGACCTATCGATTTATATTTATTATTTATATGTCTGACAGAGTGTATCTTTGTTGATATGTAAATCATTATACTTAGGGTTAAAAATTACAACATATCTGTATATTTAAGATTTTTTTAAAACCTCAATTTTTCCTTTTCAAAGCTAAGTTTGGAACTTTGTCAGCATATTTCACATCATAGTTTTATCATCATAACCTAATATAGTTGTTAAGATAACAATCACAGGGCTTTCAGTAACGCTGAGTCTCAGTGTTGTCAATCTTTGTCATCTTTCAATGCCAAATACCCTTTCAACCTCTGTTAGAAAATGAAAATAATCTCAAAATTATGATAATAAATCATCTTTCATTTGAATAGATCAATGAGTTTGAGTAAAGTTCATTAACTTTTATTTCAGCTTCATGTTGACAGTGTACATGTCAGATGTTACAGTTAATGTCAGACAGTTGGAGATCCAAAAAATCATTTCTACATTGATTGAGAGATCCACATTGTGTTTGTAGGCTATGGGGGATGCCACGACAGACACACGTATCTGGTCACCCTTGGAGTTTCTCAAACAATCAGGTAAGAGTTTGTGTGTAAGATGATGCAGTACCCTGCGCGCATCTAGTTTAGTTATAAACTACCCTCTGCCTAGTATAGACTATATTACAGTTTAGCAGCCCCACCCAAAAGATTGGTGCCTGTGACAGACCGGGTAATAAATAATTTCAAATCTACTTCGCTGACCCTTTCTCAACCATCAGCAAAGTGGAAGGAATGTGTGCTAATTACATGCTCATTAACTGAAAAAGAAACCCCCAGATCCCCCTATTCTGGCCCTCTTTTACTCCGCTTACTCGTCATGGTTCACTTCCTTTACAGCCAATATCAAGTGCCTCCCCCAAATACAAAATCCTCGATCCGCTGCTGGTACCAACGGGCAGTATCAATTTTGATCTGATAAATTGTATAAACACTGATTTAGTTTTATCAGAGAAAAGAACTATTTGTAGTCCTTGAATGCTCAGATTGCACCAGATAACGTCTACGAAACCGGACCCACCAAGTAGCCTGCACGCCACCTATATTTTCTGGAAAACGCACCCCCCCCCCTTTCAAATATGATCCGACGTCCCTGATCCATGGCATTTGTACCTCAGCTGTACTTTCCCAAAATCGAGAGAAATATGCAGCATAAAATATAGGGATAAGCAGAACGATGAAGACTCTTTTGTATCGATTTTGTGAAGCTACAGTCGCGATTTGGCTGTCGTGGAGCAAATCTGACTGAGGCGTCATGTACTATTTAGTAATCAATGTCGATGGCTTTTGTTTATTTAGGCAGTAATAGATATATTTCTCAGAGACCCTTTTCACAAACTGCAATAAGTGCCTAATCAGTTGAAAATTTTCAGATAGAAGGTTTACCATTTTTACTAATTCAGGACAGATCAGAACCAATCAAAGGCTTTTTGCTTGTTCTTACAATTGAAATCTGATCAAATTCATTCACTGTAACAATTTCACTCATTAGAAAATACTTTTTTGCCTACTCAGTCTATTAATACCCTGCACACAGATTTAAGTTATAAATTACCACCAGGGATATTACCCTTTGTCTAATATAGACTATATAACAGTTTAGCAGCCCCACCCCCACAATATTGGTACCTGTGACAGACAAGGCACGTTATAAATCGTTTCAAATCTACCACGCTGACCTTTTCTCAACTAGTCAGCAGACTGGAAGGAACATGTGGTAAATAATGTACATGTTCATTTAATATGTGATGGTGTCAGTGGAAATTACCAATTATAGAAAGTCATTCATATTTCAAAGATGAAGTCTGATTGGCACGTTGAAATCAGAGATTTATTGTAAACTAAAAGAATGTAGACGAAGGTCTTTTTTAAGAAGTGAAGTCGGGGGGTTGCAAAGGGTAGTCTATTACTGTATACAAAGATATATCTTTTCCTTCCAGGTGAGAAGATATGCCTTATGATCCTAAACCAGCCATTGGCCGGCTGTTTAGACCAACTTCACACTTTGTGGAATAAAGGTAAGATTTTTCATGAAGCTGAATCTGAAACTGAGTTCATCAAATAGCAGCCATTTTTATTGCCGATAAATCAGATTTTCAGTTCTTTTTGGTATAACTCCACAAATATTCCATCAATTTCCTTTAAATTGTACAGATTGTACATGTACCTTATTTTATTGATAAAGAATAATGTGTCTGAGTGCACAAGCTGTGCATGGCTCAGTGAGTCTAATAAGTAAATGAGCTTTGGCTTGGTAAGTCTGAGTATAAATGGGTTCTACTAAGTATATTCCAGATTATTCAAACTAAATTAAAACAATTCATTATACATTTGATTTTGAATGACTTTCGTTCTCTTAAGCAAATCATAACATAAAAATTGACATATTGGGTTTGAATGTTAGATTAGGTGCTGCAAATGGAGGATGACTGTTAATGCTATGAAAACGAACATTATCCACCATCGTCCGAAAGATCACCCGCGGTCCCTGTTCGTATTTCGATGTGGTGACAGTGTCATTGAATACGTTGGACAATACAAATATTTGGGACTTACCTTAAATGAGCATATGGACATGTCTAAATCGGTATCCATTCTTGCCAAATCTGCCACACGTGCATTAGGAGCAATTATGACAAAATTTCGGCTTAAAGGAGGAATGAACTATAACGTCTATACCCAGCTCTACGACTCAATGGTCGATCCAATTCTGTTATATGCTGCCGGCACATGGAGTGCAAACATCACCTCGGGAGCACCAGCAGTTAAAGTCCAAAACAAAGCTGAGCATTTCTTTATGGGAGTCGGTAAATGTGCACCGAACGATGCAACACGCGGGGACATGTGCTGGACTGACCCAAATGTTCGACAAAAAATTGAAAAGGCCAGGCAGTGGTGTCGTTTTAAAAATATGAATAACTACAGAATCACAAAAACAATCCACAACTGGTCCTTAACGCAACCACGATCATGGGACTCTAAGGTTAAGCTGGAATTACAACAGGAAAAAGCTGATCACTTTTTAACGGATGACCATATCCCATCAGTGAAATATGAAATTAAAAAGTATAGATCTGACTTAAACTCAAAACAACATATAACTTGGCACAACTCCATATGGAACGACTCCAGGAACCAGGAAAACGGAAATAAGCTAAGGACATATCGGCTCCACAAGGTACACAAAACAGAGCCTGAACACTATCTTCGCATTAGCCTTAACAGATATGAACGTGCAAATCTGGCAAAACTCAGAACGGGTACACTGCCACTGAGATTGGAGACTGGTAGATACACTGGTGTCCCTGTCAATGAGCGTAAATGTATGTGTGAGCGTGACGTCGTTGAGAACGAGATACACTTTCTCGTAGACTGTTCAATCCATGAAACTCTAAGGACTGACTTATTTGAAAAAGCAAGACTTCACATTATCAATTTTGACTCGCTCTCTAGTTTGGCTAAATATTGCACTCTTATTACAAATGAAAACATCACAAGAACATTGGCAAAAACTGTTAATAGCATGTTTTTAAACAGAAAAAACTATTTCATTGATTGACATTGATTTTACACTTTAAATTATTTATTATTTCATGTTTTAAAATGAATGTTTCAGTCTCTCATAAGCCGAATGCCGGCTGGGCTATGTATTTTTTAGTATTATTTATTGTATATGTATTTTAGCGTGAGACTTAAATAAATTATTAAACAACAAACAACAACAGTAAAAAATGTGACCCTCTTCCATAGAATTCTAGCCAAAATAGAAAAGGATGTGAGATTACATGTTTTGTTTTTTGACATGTTGGGTGCTATATTGTAATCAGTTTGCCAGGTGGGTGGTTTTCAGGCAAACTGTTCCAGGGATTCATCTGAAATTTTCAGGGATGTTCCTAGAAAGGTTTAGATCTGATTAGTTTTTTGGCATTCTGGATAAATGTTCAGGCAGCAATTTTGGATTTTCCATCCTAAAATCTTGTTTGAAAATGCTAACAAAAATACATGTATTGTACAAGGACAAGTGGACATAAGTTTTCTTGTGTTACAGCTGTGTTGACTGCTTGTGTTGATGGAGGCACAAATGAATTGTACAAGCATACTGTTCAGGATTTCCCCCAACTTGTACCTGATATAATCTCTGGGGATTTTGATTCAGCAGTAGCTGATGTGTTGCAGTATTATAAATCCAAGGTAGGCAAAATCACAAGTTTTGTTTAATAGTAAATTATATCAAATAGGGTTTTTTAAGATAAAGGATTAGGTCAAAAGGAATCACACTGTCAATATTTGAATGATTCTTAGAGTAATAGCTCAAGCAGACTCGGTGCTTGCATACTTTTGTAATGCACATACAAGTCCAAATATTCATACTAGGATTACCTTAATCCTTTTTTGTGTTTTTGTATTGTTTTGTATGTTTTTTTATTATTGCATTTTGTATGTCACATTTCAGGGCTGTGAGATAATCCCAACTCTAGACCAAAGTGAGACAGACTTCACTAAATGTCTAAGATTATTAGTTGACAGGATAAACAAGAGAAATCTTCAGGTAGAATTGCAAACCTTGTCAGTAAACCATTTCTTACACCAATTACCATTTAGTGGTTGTTGATAAGGTGTAATGTAAAAGGCTATCCTTTTGAAGTTTGTGTGTAGGAAAGATAGATTTGCTACAACAGTGTGGGTCTTAGGATTTTTCTGTCAATCAACAATTGGCTATCGACTTGTGTTTTCACACTCGGCAATGAAAAATTACACCCGCCACAGTGTTGCCACTGATGAAAAATTAACTAAATGTATATGTATACTCACAGTTTCCTTGTGAATAAAAATCTTAAAAAAAGAAAATAATATGTTTATAGAAGTACTTAAAAATGACTTTGTTCTAATAATATTTAACAATGCCTTTCATGTTTTTCATGTTAGACAATGTGGCAAGGCACTTCAATTTTACACTCGACTCTAAATACTTACATCCGCCTGGGGCTACTCTCAAGTAAATATGGCCCACACTGCTACATACAATGTTAAAATTGTGCAATAGAAATGGAAATACAAATGTATAAAAAATGTATAATTTTACCAGGATAGTAATGGAAATAAAACAAAAACAAAACAAAATACCATCCTGATATTATAACACACTGCAGATCTAATGAAATAATTCTTATTTACCATGGTGCTGTATTGTTCCAGGTCAGTGCCATATATGCATTGTGTGACATAGGTGGGGACAGGTTTGACCATGTGATGGCTAATGTGAATACACTATATACTGGAGCTCAATTGTCCAACATACCAACATACATAGTGACCAGGACCTCTATCATATGCTTGCTGACTCAGGTAACAAGTCTATTTGATCACTGCATGTTACAGTGTTAATGAATCAAATTTATGAGTTAATGCAGTTGGCAATCCATGAATTCCTCATAAGTTTGATGAGGTAAGGCGACCATAGGTTACTCAACATAAGGAACGTTTCTTCTTTGATTTAAAGATGTCACTCCCTTAGAGCATTTCTATTTATTACATGTTACAGGATCGCTGGTTGTCTAGTAATACATATATAAGAGTTGAGATCAAAATTGAGAGAGCTCTATTTGAGTCTCATGTTAAATAAAAATATTATGATGTTCCAGGGCCAACATCAAATTCATGTGGAGAAAGAGAATAGAGGAGATTGGTGTGGCTTTTTACCCATAGGTGGCAGGTGTGCTAGTGTCACAACAACAGGCTTCAAATGGAATCTGAGTAGGTTGTTTCAACATTGTTAAATATGGGATATCAGAGGTAACAGATATTATAAGAAATACCATGAAATATTCAAATTGATGGTAAAATGTGTTTTGCATTGTTGAAAATTGCTGTTTTTCAAGACAATTTTTAGTTATCTTCAATAACATTACAAAATTGGTTATTTTGTCATTACCATTCACACCCAGATATTAGATGTGATGTTCATGTACTCTTTTTTGTTAAAACCTAACATGAACATTCTTTTCCTAAAATGTGATGTGAATATGATTCAAATGTGAATGAAATATTGCTTCCAATTTATTTCATTCCTTTATTACCAGTCCAAATGTAAGATGAACTTGAATTGATTTCATGCCTATGAAATGAAATGAAAATAACGGACCTATCCTCAAAATAAGCTAATGATTTATTTATAGATGGCGATGCAATGGAGTTTGGTGGCTTAATCAGCTCAAGTAACACATGGACTGATGCTGAAGTCGTTACCATAGCAACAGATGCTCCTCTTGTCTTTACTATGGGTCACAAAGTTAAGTAAACCCTCAGAGTGGTGCTATACAATTACGTGAGTCATGGAATGGACACATTGTTTGGCTTACGGCATAATTTATTTATTCTACTTAGAAGTTTCAGAAAGAAATCCTTCGAGATTTAAAAGTTTACAATCTGATTACTGTTGGATTTGTTACTGTATCAACATTCTCAGAAAATAATTAGGTGCTTTAAGATAAAAAATAAGTTTGTTTAAAATCTATAAGTGTTTTATACGATAACCATCAAGTGTGTTGGTTACATTTTGACAGATTACATGATTGTGAAACTTTCATGTATCAATATTTGGTTTCGTGTTACCATGTATCTTTCAAACACTGTACCTTTCAAACTTACTGGAGTAGAAAGTCAGTGGTACTTGAATTAGAATTTTGAAACAATATACTTGCAATTTTGGGATGTTTTCATGGATGTGCATCTTTATATAATTTTATAGATATAATGTAATATTAATGAATATATGGTCTTACAGAAATCTGTGATGAAAATGAGCTTAGCTTGAGAGGCTGTTCTTTTAGTTTTCCTATAATTAAAATCTTGGAAAGTTACAAGTTGAACATTGCAGAGCCATTAAATAAATCAGATTGTAATCATGGCATTTCTTTATGTTGAGATAATTCATGGCTAGAAAAGCTCTATTGCACGCTGGATCATTGATCACCTGACAATTAATTATGTATTTTATAATTATTAACTATTATTATTATTTATTAATTATTAACACTTTTTGTACAGAAGGAAGGAATTGTAACAATATGGGATATCGTAATTTATAGAAATATAGGGCTATAAACATGAAAACATGTAATAAATATATTACCATTAGATGTATGTGGTCAGTTTGGCCTGTATGTGTCAGTATAGCCTGTGAGGTTCAGATTTTAGAAAGAGGGCTGAAAGGTTTGGTTTTACAGCTCACCCAAGTTGGTATTTTTGGGGTGGGAAGATTACATACAGACAACTGTTCATCATGGGCTCAAAAATCATAAACATGCAATACAGCATGGCTTAGTTAAGTCTGATACCTCTCATTGAAATGCACAAAATGTACTTGTTAATATTGTTATTGAAGTGCACAAAATGTACTTGTTAATATTGAAGTAACAGTATTGACATTTAGAGTAAACAATGGCAGCTTTTTCTAACATGTCGCATAATATTATATATAGTTCAATACAGTATTTTGTATTTAAAAGAGTATTTTTGTTATTGTTTGTAAGGTGAACTAGTTGGGAAGAATATAAGAATTGGAATTTAAATTCTGAAAAATCTTAGATTCTGTTTTGCTTAACATAACAACATAATTTATACAAATTAAATATCCATTTTATTATATTATATACAATATATATTATGTGCTTAAGTACATCATGAGATTAAAGGTACATACATTTATTTACATATATACAGTCTGTATATATATTTACATATATATATACAGTCTGCTGTTTATTACAGCTTTACTTTTGTGTGAGTAATATATATTTTATATAGATTTTACAATGAGGTAAAAATGTGCACCCCTCAAAATATGTCGTTTACTTTTGGAATGGTGAAATTGCATTTGATGAGATGTTTATAGTAAAATAATACATAAAGTGGTGATTAATATGTTTCAGTAAATGTTTCTGTAACAGCAGGAGATCCAAGACGTCATTTCCATTGTTCTCTGCATATTTCGCGTAGTAATCTACGGTGATTAGCCCGCGCGATTTTCGCATGAATGAACGTCATGGTTGATGCACCCATTTTTACACGACGGTATCTCCCTCGTCTTTTATCGGTTTCCCACAAAATAAACGGTTTTGAAAAGCTTATATCAAGTAGTTTCAGACGGTCTTTCTCATTTTTTAATTTCATTCAAGGTCTGGTCTCAATAATCAAAATCGCAATTGTGATATTTTTATAGAAAACGCAAAAATGTGTACTGTTTTCAAGCCTTACGGATAAATCGTTAACGGCGGCCTTCACAAACAATTAGTTCAGCACTATCTAGCTCAAATCTAGACGAATTCAATGGTGTTATTCTTTTTTACCAACCCTGGGGGAGATGGGTTTCTGCCAATTTTTAGTGCGACCAAGTGTTTTTTAGAGCCATTTATTTCATCATTTAACGTCACATATTCCGGATTGTAGCGTGACTGAACTTTATTGGACGGATGTATCCATCTTTACACGATGATATCGCGCTCGTCTTTTATCGGTTTCCCACAAGGTAAACAGTTTTGAAAAACGTATATCAAGTAGTTTCAGACAGTCTTTCTCATTTTTTAATTATATTCAAGGTCTGGTCTCAATAATCAAAATCGCAATTGTGATATTTTCATAGAAAACGCAAAAATGTATACTGTTTTCAAGCCTTACGGATAAATCGTTAACGGCGGCCTTCACAAATAATTAATTCAGCACTATTTAGCTCAAATCTAGACGATTTCAATGGTGTTATTCTTTTTTACCAACCCTGGGGGAGATGGGTTTCTGCCAATTTTTAGTGCAAGTGTCTTTTAGCCTTTTATTTCATCATTTAACGTCACATAATACCAGATTGTCGCGTGACTGAACTTCCTGGGAGATGCGCCCATTTTTACATGATATTAGAGCACTCGTCTTTTATCGGTTTCCCACAAAGTAAACTGATTTGCAAAGCTTATATTAAGAAATTTCAGAAGGTTATTCTCATTATCTTATCTAATATATACATTATATTGAAGGTAGAGTCTCCGCCATAATTAAAATCGCATCCGGATATTTAAAAAATCCAACAACGATATTGTTTTCATGCCTAACGGACACATCGCTAACAACCGGTTTTATCTAAAATTATTTCACCACTTGTAGATCAAAATAAGAGGATTTCAATGATCGTTATTCTTTTTTACCTATCCTGGGGAAAACGAGGTTCTGCCATTTTTAGTGCGACCAATTCTAATTTAAGTTCACTTCCATTTCTTTCATTTTACGTCGTCGCCGGCAACTTTCATAAAGAAATATGAATGGATATGCAGCCGTTTTACACGATGTATGATATCTTGCTAACCTTTCAAGCCTTGCGGACACATCGTTGACGATCGGATTTAAAAAATTATTGTATATTATTATTGTGTTTACATGCCCCTGTTTTATATCCGAATTGTATTTCATGAAATAAGTAGTTTAAGTAAATTAATTTTATATTTCATTGTTCATTAAATGTCGCGTGAATAAGAAAAAAACGACAGAAACAAAAAGAACACGCAAAAATGTGATTTCTTCTAAAATGGCATGGACTGGTGAAAGTGATGATCAACTTTTTTAGCGTGTAATGTCCAAATTTTCTTATTTATTTTTGCCAACTATTGAATGTGCGATAAAAGTCATAGAGATGTTCACGGCTTTCGTCAATTAGCTTCAGCGATAATTGTTTTAAGATCAAGAACTCGGATCCCACTAGATTGGACTGTATTTTTCACATTAGCCCTTTGTGCAGAATTTCATTCCCTGTTTTCATTAACTAATTAAATGGATAAATCAATGATTCCTGTCTTTCAAAACCGATTGGATAAATTGGTAAATAATACACATACTTTGCATATCCATCCATTTGCCAGTACTATTCTAATAATGTGACAGTTAAATGAAATAAAAAGATTCTGAAATTATTATGGATCCCTGGGTATAGATCATGTGGATTGACAAATAAAAATCTGTGTAGAGCGAAAGTAAAAATATTTATTTATCCAATTCAAATATGGCAGCACTGGACATATCTTATTCAATACATATAGGCCTAATTGATAAGGATATATATAAAATTGAAACATCATACTGTGACTGTGCACACTTGCCAAGAACTAAAAATATGATTGGAACTTCTTTAAAAAATGTAAACTAGTTATACAAACTTCGATGGCAGATGTGTTCTCAGAATATACAGTAAAATATATTTTCACCCAAAGCATAATTAAATGTACTATCATATACAGGTAGAGTTCAACATAAAAAACATATAAATGTTGAGTTTTTTCACATTGATCAACATTTACTTCAAGGTTTATAATAACAGTTTTATTTTGAACATTATGCCTACATTTAATATTTTTCAAATACAGTAGAACCTGTATATCTGAACACTTGGCTAATCCGAACACCTTCCAATTTGAACACTTTTTTTCGGTCCCATTTTTTCCTCCCATTGACTCCCATGTTAAAAAAAACCTTGAAATCTGAACACCTAATCTGAACAGTGAACAACCAGATTTGAAAAACCGACCTGTCTAATCTGAACATTTTATCAGGAATCAAATGTCTGGACATTTCAATAATAGCCACATATTGAGTCAATGTTGTAGTTCTTATTATCTTTACATATGCAATGTAATCAAAGAACCAATATTGTCCTAATTAAATTATTTAAGTCTCAATGACATCCCTAATTGTGGAAAACAACAGGAAAGGTGTGAATACGGGAGTTAATTGGTTTATCCTATTAGAAAAGAACTGAATGTTTTATGTTTGGATTAAGAGAAAGGTGTGAATCAAGAAGATAATTGCTTTATCCTTATTTTAAATTAACTGGATGTTTTTGATTTGGATTATGAATAACAAGTCTTAACTGTTTTATATCCCATGTGTCTGTTATGATAGCTAGGATTCAATCAGTAAATGTTTTATAATCACAGAGACAACACAGACACATTTGCAGACAAGATTATAATTGTTCTATCATTATTAGAAATTACCTGGATGTTTTTGATTTGGACTAAGAGAAAGGTGAGAATCTGGGAGATAATTGGTTTTTCCTTATTTTAAATTAACTGGATGTTTTTGATTTGGATTATGAACAAGTCTTGACTGTTTTATATCCCATGGGTCTGTTATGACAGCTAGGATTCAATCAGTAAATGTTTTATAGACAGGACAACACAGACACATTTGCAGACAAGATTATATCATGAGAAAGAGAAAAAATTTAACTTCGTAATATCCTATCACTAAAATGAAAGTGAAAGTGAGGGTGAAACAAAATGGAGGTCTAAAAAGATTCTCCGGTAAAAGTTTTCTTATTTTCAGGCGTAGAGGTAAATAGACGATTACAAACGTGTTACTATTTGCTATTATCTAATGTTGGATATGTCCTGAACAGTCGTAGGATATATGAAGGATAGTATACTATCGTGGTGAGTGAAAAAATTGATTTATACGAAATGCACGTACACCAGTCCTTTGTGTAAGAGATCTGCCCATAATAAATCAGTCATGCCGGGTAAAGCCAAAAAGGCTCGTGCACGTAATACCACTAGGCACACTAGATCAAGTTCAGAAATGTCAAATGATGAGGGAAAGGTTTGTGATACTGAAGAGACTGATAGTGAGGAGGCAGCATGTACCACGCCCAAAGGAAATCCTGTAGTAACAGATAATGTCAATATTAGTGAAGAAGGACGGATCCTTATTGATCGTATGGAATGCTTGAGTAGAGAAATCACGAAACAAAACTCGGAATTTCATGATGAAATGAATGTATTGAGAGATGATATTCGAAAAAACACAAATGACATGAAAAATGCATTTAAGGAGGAAATAAGTGAACTGAAGAGTGGTATCACCTATGCCCAGGAAGTCAGTGAAGAGAATAAGATCAAAGTAGAGGAACACGAAGAATGTCTTAAGGATATTCAAATTCAATCATCTTCCATGTCTACTGCTATAAAGAATATGTCATATCAATATAACAAAATGTATGATGAACTGAACACTAAACTTCTGGATATGAATGTGTACTCTCGTAGAAGTGCACTCCACTTTCAGAACATTCCTGAGGAGGATGGCGAGAATCCAGGAGACGTAATGAAGCACTTCTTTGTCAATAGACTTAAGATGTCGAAGGATGAGGTGCAAAATATTCGCTTCGAGCGTGTACATCGAATCCCACTTGGTCCTAAAGAAAAGTACAGATTCACTAGAACAATGACCGTGAAATTCAACTGGTACCAGGATAGAGAGACAGTGTGGGGAAAACGTTTTAGTCTTAAAGGATCAAATATATACGTTACTGAGAGCTTTCCAAAGGAAGTTGAGGATAACAGACGCCTGTTGATGCCATATTTCAAAAAGGCCAAGGAACTAAAATGGAAATGTGCCATGATCGCAGACACCCTTATAGTGAAAGATGAGCGATATAAGATTGGAGACATACAAAAATTACCAATGGAACTTTTGAATGACAACTCATCAATGCGAGATTTGGACACGGTATTTTTGTACAATTCGTCCACATCCCCCCTTGGCCCAGATAGCTGCACACCCTTTGAATGCGAAGGCACGATGTTCCGTAGTGTGACGCAATACCTAGCCTATAATAGAGCTATCGTAATGAAGGATCAGCGTACTGCAGACAAGGTGCTACAAACATCTGACCCCAGACAAATAAGAAGGCTTATATCTGAAATCAGAGGAAGTGATGGCCAATCATGGAGAAAAGTAAGTGACAGCCATGTGATAAAAGCTACGGCTATTAAATTCAGTGTGCACAAGCAAATCAGAGCTCTTTTGATGAGAACTGGGTCCAAAACCATAGGAGAGTGTAACCCACATGATATGATTATGGGCACAGGATGTAGTTTAAATGATAAAACTGCTAGTGACACAAGTGCCTGGAGAGGTCAAAATCTTGGTGGCAACGCTCTCATGGAAACGAGAAACCATATCAGGAAGATTGACAAGGCATAACACAAGCACATAGCAATATATACAATATACAGTGATAGATTGAACCAGGATAGTGCGAGCATTAGTTGGTGCATCTATCCCACGAGCAAAGTGCGATATGCCGAGTTTTTTACAAAAATTCTGTAATCATGTGTATCATTTATGTATTCTTTGATCATTATAGGAACAAAATACGAGCACTACAGATTTCACAAACAAAATGTTGTTATTGTTTTGATAGCGCACTGACGTCCGCGCGATGGCAAAATCTATACACAGTAGATCAGTTATGCTGAAATCGACCGCTGTAATGCTCGTATAATGTGCTCTATAAACCACTAAATGGTATGTATAATGCGTGTAGATTTTTTAAGCGGTCAAAAGTAAGCGAATGGAGTGCTTTGGAAATGCAAAAATCAAGTTGTATATATGTTTGGTTAGCGCTTGAAGCTTGGCTTTTGGCCAAGCTGGATTATTCGTACTGTAAATTATGTTACTTTAGCAAGCGCCTGAAAAGTGTAAACTTTTGCTTCTTTTATTTATTATCAAGTGTTTTATATATGGGAAATGAAGTTATGAATGTAAAGTATGAATGGAATGAAAGGTGGATGAATGTGATGTTGGTTTGGACAAATTATTTGTTAGAAATTGAATATTTTATATGCCTCGAATTATATGTGCAAGGACTATTGGATAATTGTATTTTATTTTACTCAAAGCTTATAGTGTGCTGCTACTAAAGGTCCACACACAAATTTAAGATTATGCACTCTTAATGTAAGAGGCATTAGGAGTCACTCGAAGAGAATATCTATATTTTTATACGTAAAACGTTTTAAGAATGATGTTGTATTCCTTCAAGAAACGCATTCAAGTGTAGATGATAGTAAGAGATGGGAAAATGAATGGGGGTTAGGGAAGTGTATATTTTCTCATGGCAGACTTCGAAATGAACGGGGAGTAGCTATTTTATTGGGAAATAACCGTATATCCATCATAAAACAGTTGAGTGACACTGAAGGAAGATACATCATCATTCAAATACAAAGTGAGGGTAAAAACTACACGTTATGCAATATATATGCTCCAAATGATGAAAATGTTAGGAAAGAGTTTTTCGACCATGTATCAGCAATTATAACAACAGAATTTTCACACGAAAATCTGATTCTAGGGGGAGATTTTAATGTTACTATGGATAATAGATTAGACAGATATTCAAAAAATGTTGAACATATTCAAAATAATGATGCATCTCGTGGGGCGCTGGTGGATTTAGTTAAATTTTATGACCTCGTTGATATATGGAGGCATCAGAACCCCACAAAAATTCAATATACCTATGAATCTTATGCAAAAGATGACATGCGAAATTCTCTTTCCAAAAGTAGGTTAGATATGTGGTTCATTAAAAGAAACATGGGTAACAGTAGCCTCTGTAAGATAGCTCCATCGGTTAAGTCTGATCACAAATGTGTATTACTAGACACTATGTCAAATGGAAATAATAAACGAGGCCCTGGCTTTTGGAAAATTAATAATAAACTGATTGAGAATGCAGAATATCAAAATATTATCAGGAAATTGGTGAAAGATGTTAAAACAGAATATAATGACCTTGATAATATCCAAATGTGGGAATTTCTAAAATACAAAGTTAAAGTTCGAACTATTGAGTTTTCTAAGCAAAAGGCCAGGGCACTTAGGGCGCAAGAGATAGAGCTAATTAAATTATTAGAGAATCTAGACAGTGAGCTGGTCAACGGAAATAATCTTAATGCAGACAACTGTAGGAAATACGATGAAGCAAAATCTAAGCTAAATGACATTTATCAGTATAAAGCTGAAGGGGCAATCCAACGCTCAAGGGCTGAATGGGTTGAAAAGGGGGAGAAAAGTACTCAGTATTTTTTCAATTTGGAAAAATCTAACCATAATAAAAAACACATTACAAGACTTATTGTTGATGGAGCCATTGTTACGGATGAGACTGAAATTCTTAATCAAATAAAAGCATTTTATGAAGAACTATATTCATCGAAATCATTAAAAGATTGTGAGAAATTTAGACGTTTTGATGAAGGAATACAAATAGATAAATTAGATAATAATGAACAATTATCGGGTGAGGGAACCTTAACAACTGATGAATGTTTTAGAGCCTTAAAGAGATTTAAAAATGGAAAAACACCCGGAAGTGACGGTCTTAGCTCCGAATGGTACAAGCATTTTTGGGGTGACATTAAAGAATCCGTAGTTAACTCATTCAATTTTGCTTTTGAAAAGGGTATTCTTTCAATGAGCCAAAGGCAAGGTGTTATATCCCTTATACCGAAGGGAGAAAAAGATTCAGAATATTTAAAAAATTGGCGACCAATTACTTTGCTAAATATTGATTATAAAATTGCATCCAAATCAATAGCACAGAGAATAAATGCTGTTCTAGGTAAAATTATTGGATCGGATCAAACTGCTTTTATTGAAGGGAGGTTTATCGGAGAAAATATTCGCTATGTCGAGGATCTTTTGGACTACACCAAGAAGAGGGGTATACATGGAATCGTTTGTATGGTGGATTTTCTCAAAGCCTACGACAGTGTCGAGTTTGATTATATTGAGCATGTACTAAGGGTGTTTAATTTCGGAGATGACCTGATCCGATGGGTTAAGATGTTTAATAATGATATTAAAAGTTGCGTCCTTAACAACAACGTGTCGACTGGCTGGTTTAGTGTTAAACGCTCATGCAGGCAGGGGGACCCGATCAGTTGCTTGAATTTTTTACTTGTTATAGAGATGCTAGCCTTAAAAATTAGACAAGACAATGGTATACAGGGAATTGACATTGGCGAGGCAAGTCAAAAACTAGCGATTTTTGCAGATGATACCACGTTGACTCTTAAGGACGTAACGTCATTACAAAAAGCATTGGACATCTTTGAAGATTTCAGACTAATATCAGGTTTATGTATTAATAGAGAAAAAACAGAGTGTATGTATATTGGAAGTGATCGTCATAATAATGAAATAAACCTTTTTGGTCTGAAATGGGTAAAGATACCAAGTAGACTTTTAGGGATAAAAATATCATATGACACAAATGCAAATAACACAGATAATTTTGAGAGAAAGTTAAATATGCTTGAAAAGGTTCTTATATTGTGGTCAAAGCGAGATCTTACTTTTTATGGAAAAGTACTCATAATTAAGTCCCAGGCAGTGTCGAAGCTAATATACTCGATGACAATGACCAATACGCCTGATGATATCTTGACGAAGGCTCAACGACTAGTCTATTCTTTTTTATGGGGAGGAAAGGGTGAGAAAATTAAGCGAAATACTTTAATAGGGGATTTTGAGGATGGGGGTCTAAGAATGATTAATATGTTCACAATGGAGAAAGCCTTGAAATTAATGTGGTTAAGACGTTTACTCGACACACGAACCAGTCACTGGAAGCTTATTCCTCAAGTTTATTTCAAGCGTCTTGGAGGACTGAGTTTTTTGTTGCAGTGTAATTATGATATTAAAACATTGGCACACAGTGTTCCTACCTTTTATATGAATTTGCTTCGAAACTATTCAGAATTAAGAAATAGGTCGCCGCCTAGAACCAGCTCAGGGGTTAAAGGTGAAATAATTTGGAATAACAAATCAATTCTAATTAATGATAAGGAGGTGATGTACAAACATGTCATGGAAAAGGGGGTCATTTATATTAATGACCTTCTTAACGAGAATGGGGCTTTTTTACAGTACAATGAGTTTAAGACTAAGTATAATATTAATATCAACTTTCTTGAGTATTTTTCAATCATATCGGCTATACCAAATGATTGGAAATTTTTATTGAAATCAGATTTAAGTTCGACCTTTGAACCCAGCATACAGGAAGAACTCGTGTATTTGAAACTTGGTGAAAAACAGGTGACAATCTCTAGTATAACGGTTAAATCAATTCAAACAATATTAAATGGAAACAAGTTCTTGGAACCGTTATATAAAGACAAACATGATCGTGAATTAAAGAGAACCGATTATTTTAAAATGCCTTATATGTGTACGAAACAGAATAAAACGCGACAACTTCAGTTTAAAATACTTCATGGTATCTGCACTACAAATGCCTTTTTAGCGCAGATATGCATTAAAAATGACTCTAAATGTAACTATTGTGCCTTTCGAGATACGTTAAAACACAAATTCTGGGAGTGCAAAAGAATTCAAATATTTCTGGAAGCAATCAAAGGGAATTTAAAGCGTTTATTTAAAGTTGATTTCGATTTTAACGCCCATGACATGGTTTTTGGAAGGCAAGCTAATAAGAAAAATATCTTACCAAATAGACTTACCCTTGCAATTAAGTACTATATTTTTATTAAAGAGTTCGACGAAGTGAATCCCAATTTGTATGAGGCGCAATTTGAAAAAAATATGTTTTATTATGTACCTGAACTTAAAAGTATGACTGTTGCAAATGTCTGAATGAATGGAGGTGGTGTGAAAAATATCTGAACTGTTCTAATTATTGTACTTGTACTGTTTGAATAGAGAAATAAAAAAAATCAAAAAATAAAAAAAAAAAAAAAATCACTAAAATGCCTCTGACATACTGAATGCCCTTGATATTTTGAAAGATTATGCATCATCTCGAATGAGCACTCATGAAAAATTCTTTTTAATTAAAGAGGGTATCTACTCAAATATTGCTAATGCTAAAAGTGCCAAGAAACAAACAACAATGAACGACTTTTTCAAGCTAAAGTAAAGCAGTGCTATGTAACCATAATATGAGATAGGTCATTTAATAAGCATAAGATTTTGTACAAGACTTTCATATACTTATTCAGTGTATTACAAAGTTTTTGCCAAAATTAAAGAGTTATTTTTCCCAAAATAATGAAATTGTTCAATATGTAAATAAAACATAGCATATACATGTAGGCTATAGGCTTATTGTAGAATAAACTCAGCAACAACATGTATTGTTTTCTGACTAAGTATTAAGTGGACTGAACAAT